CGGGGGGGGGGGTAGTTGGCAGAAACTAAATAAAATGCCCAGCAGAGGGACTGGCAGAGTGAAGAATAAACAGAATGTGCTTGTGAATACTGTATTTTCTTATTTACAGCATGCCTGGAATATACGTGCCTTTTTCACAGGCAGAATGAGGAAAAACAATTTTTCCAGCATTATGGCTGCATAGAGCAGGGACAGAGCTTTATCTTCAGCTGACTCAGTCTCCCTTTCCTGCTTAACTAAAGCTGAATTCCTAGCTGCAACTGAACACTGGTCTCCAACATAGATTTATGGGTGGGTCTGAAGAGAGCTGAAGAGTCTCCAAGACTGTGGAATAGGAGAGGTACCAGGAGCAGTTAGCAGACAGCAAAATTGCCCTTAAATGTTGTCTTGATGTTCTATTAATCAAGCTTGTTAACGCCTCTGGAGTGAAGAAAATGAGCCATTAAGTAAACGGGCTCCCTCAGCTACCTGAATAGTAATGCAACTGCTGCTGCAGTGTGGAATCAAAGCAGGGTACTCCTATTCTCAGCAAAAAAATCAGATTCCCCACTTAATACACGACTTAGTTTTGGAAAGCTGAGTTTTAGGGAAGAGGTGCATATTGTATGCAAGAATATATGCTAAATGACAGATGGGGGAGGGGGATGAAGAGGAAAAAACGTAAGTGGAAAAAAGGAATCTGGCATCAGATATTGTACTGAAAGGGCTTCCTGACCCCAGAGTGTCTTAATTTGGGGGAAATATTTTCATTTCAGATTGATCTTTATTTAATTAGACTGTGCTTTAATAAGAGTATTTTTTGGTGGGAGAACTTTATAGGGTTGAATTGAAGGGAGAAGATAGTTTGGGAACTATTTTTGATTGAGTCCCCAAAAGAGTTTGTAAAATCTTTAAGTATAGGAAGATCTCCTTTCTTCACAAAATAGGGTTTGTGAAGTAGGTAAACAATCTCACCACAATAGCGTGAAAGAGGTGAGTTTTTTGTTTTCTTCTTTTTTTGCATATGGACAAGGGATATTGACCCAACATCTCAGGAGGATTAATGGTAAAGGAAAGATTAGAATGTAGTTGCTATTACTAATAAAGGAAATTGATATTTTTACATATGAGCTTCATGTGTCAATGGCTTTTTAAAAATAATGAAATATTGACCTTTGTATAAATTACTTAATGAAGATTTCTTTCTTTTTCATTAGGAATCTTGAAAGCAACATCTTGTATCTTATCTGTTGCTTTCACTTTTCAGATGGCTGACGTGGAAGTGGACAATGCCCGTCAAGAAAATTTGAAACTCAGTAAAATGAAGAAGAAAGTATTGAGGAAACAAATAAAGGCTCAACATACCTTAATGCGACATGAGGGCATTGAATGCATTTCCCACACCACTCAGGTGACTTGAAGCTCTTATTGTTGTTATGCCAGTATGCAGGGATAGCCTATCCATACCCTCAGTTCACTTGTGGCTAAAGCAGAGGTGTCAAATGTGGCCCATGTCAAACTGTGGCTAAAGCAGAGGTGTCAAACATATGGCCCGTGATCTGTATCTAGCCGAAAGAGCCGAGTGATCCGTGTTGGAGGTTCCTCTCCTGATGGCAGCCAGGCACCTGGATGAGGCCCGACACTATGGATTGTTTCTGTGGTGGCAGCCAAGCACTTGTGATGCTGAGCTTCTTCCTGAGTTGCCACTGGGGTGCCAGTGCCAGTGCTCTTGCCAGCTTAGCTGCTCAGCACTTGGGCGAAAAAAGCAGCACTGAAGCCCCAGCAGCACCAGGGAAGGAAGCCCAGTACCATGCAGCTGGTTTCTGGTGTGCCTGGATCCGGCCTGGCAGAGAGGGGCTATTTGTGGCACAGCACTATTCTTCCAGCCTATGGGCTGGTCCCATTGGCTGGATGAGTGGTGGAGGCCAGATGAGTTTGATACCTAAATCACAATTCTGCTCTGAAAACTGACTCTTAAAAGGGTGTCTTGAGACTCAACGTTTGTTTTATTGGTATGTTATATACTGTTAATGTCACATTACAGCCTCCTTTTCTTTTTCCATGTTACTGTCTTAGTCTTCCCTGCTTTCAGCTTTGCATAGTTCTTTAATTCCTTCCCCCTATGCTCCTCCATAAAACTCTCTCTCTTTTTCAAACTCTCTGTTAAGATAGTCTTTTAGAAATCCTTCCTACTTTGTTTTTCTCTGCAGTAATCTCCTCCCTAAACTGGTGACCATGCTTTCTTTATCAGTGTCCCCTCTATCTCACGGCTTGAGCCTGCAGACTTTCTCATTCATATATAGTAGCTGATTGTTTTGCAAGTGCTGTGGCAAAGTTGGGCTTGGTTGTCATCAGGATTTCAGAGAAGGTGGCTATGTAGGAAAATGCTAAGATCTGAAATTCAAGTGCACATAGTAAGCTTTAGAGCTGAGACTGTTGTTCTTTTTTTCTGTGTGGGTAATATGCCTAATTCTAGGCCTATTAGTGCTAGTAGTAAGTCAGAATTTGAAGCTGAGTGTAGAACAGATGGTGAGAAATACTCTGACTTTTGTGGTTCAGTGCACAGATTGGGTATTGATGAAACTCTCCTGAAATTCTACTCTTGACTAAGCTCATATATGACAATGAACTTATACAACTATGAGCTATGAACCTAGTGCTCACTATTTGCTGTTTCAAACCCGACTGTTACATTTTGCATTGTGGTTGGGTTGTAAAACCTCTGAAAAACACTATCTTTAATGCAGAAGCTGATAATGTCCTCAATATAATAGCATTAACTGAGCTACCACACAGGTATGCTGTCAGTAGGAGCTCATACATGAACCCAGTACTCACTGTTAGGATGCTGGTACCCTTAAAATCTCTCTTTTTTTTTTTTATTTACTAGTTCTTTTTTTTGATTTTCATGCTAACTTACTTTTGTTTCGAAGAACTATTTGCTTCTTCTTGAAAGAGTAGAGTATTCTATTTTCTGCTTTCAAATAGGGTAATATAACATTTCATAGAAATGCTCTAAAAAAAAGATTGCTTGCAACTTTTCGGGAAAGATACTGAAGAGAGAAAATGTCTGAAAGAGAGCTGCTTTTCTGGGGCCAACCAGAGCTAAGTCTTGCTAATTATACAGGGCTACTGATACCAGACTCCATACTTCTTATTTTTCATTTGCCCTCTCCGTTTTACTGGAATTGATTAAATTCAATCTTCAAACATGGCAACATAACTATTCAGAAGTCAATTAAGCTTTATAGTTTACATTTTTCTAAAATTATGTATCTTTTGCAAAAGAAATATTTAAAAACATTTTTTTAACATAATGACAACAGGACAACTATTTGTATTGTGCCAGTTAAACAGTCAGTCTTCACAAACCACCCACACAATCTGATAACCTAAATAATGTTCAGGCTGGATGACCAGTCTCCTTTCTCCCTTTCATGTTTGTAAAGGACCTTTGTCTAAGGTTAACTTCTGTCTGAGGCTGGTTCTTTCCTTGGCGTAACCTCCTGCAAAATTTCCAGACAAAAACAGCAGTTTCGGGAGAAGTGAAACTGCTGGCAGCTATCAATTTCACTGTCTGCCACCTGAAAGTAATGGTGTAGCTAGAACCCATGCATCAGTAACCCATGCATCAGTTTGTAGGCAGTGCTGTGATTACCACACGCGCGCGCGCGCACACACACACACACACACACGGGTGTTTTTACCAGGTAGACTATAACTCTGTAAAATCCTGGCCATTAAAATACATATGGAACAAATAATGGTTGCTTTAGTTCTGATCCTGACATACCAGATTAACCGGAATATAAATGTTTAATCTGGAACATCAAGCAGAGCAATCACAGACTGCTCGTGAGATAACAGTTTTGTTTCTATTCGTCATACAGGTGTGCTTGTGCAGTTTTCACAGTACAAGCTAATACTGCAGTTTTCAGACAGAGAAACTTGTGATCAACACTGATTATTTTTATTTTTATTTTTGTTAATTAGAACCTGGTCATTGCCAATGGAGGTCTGGGTAATGGAGTGAGTAGACACCAACTACTCAGGCTAGTAGAGGAATGTGGATTGGTGGAAGCACTCTTAATGCCTCCAAACAAACCCTATTCATTTGTGAAATACGGAACGACAGAAGAAGCCAAGAAAGCCTGCAATACTCTCAATGGAAAAGAGCTAATACTGGAGGACACCAGCCACACTGTTATTTTATATGTTAACTTTGTGAGAAAAGGTATGAATGTTCTGTTGTCTCATAAAGCACCATTGTTTTCATGTCTCTTTTGAGTTGTCAGAATTATAGTGGTCCCAGTGAAGTTAGTGACAAAACTCTGCATGATTTTTTTTTTTTTTTTTTTATGGAGCCAGGATTCATAGAAATCGCAGAAATTAAGGGCTGGAAGGGACTTTGGAAGATCATCTAGTCCAACCGTCCTGTTCTAGGTAGGACTACTGCTGAGATCAAATAATCCAAGGAAGGTGTCTGTCCAGGCTTCTCTTGAAGACTTCCAAGGTTGCAGGAAGTCTTCAAGAGGAAGATTGCAAGAAGTCTTGCAGGGGAAGGTTGAAGATTCCAGGCTGCATTTTTAAATTTGATTTCTTCCTGCGTTTTAATTTTTACTTTAATTCATACTGTTGCACAATATTTGCAAGTGCTTTCACAGATCATGGATTTTTTTGTGGCAAAACAAAATGTATGAATAAATTAATATAAAGATCGGCTTGTCCTACAACATGAAAATAATAATTTGTAACTGAGAGGAATGCAGCATCACAAAAGTAACTATTCATAATGGGCATGCGCCGTATCCCGAGGGTCGGTCCCCTCGGGATCTGAGGCCCGCCGCCTCTGGCACCTCAGAGACGGCCACCCAGACTGAGCCCATGGTTCCGGGCTCCACGCAGATGGAGTCCCTTGCTCTTCGCTGCGGGGGCTGCCTGTCTCTTTATCAGGCTCTGGAGCCTGGGAGCATGGCTACCTCCCCTTGTAGGGTCTGCTTCCTTTTGGGGTCTCCAGCACACCAGCTGGAGGAGCTCCAGGCCACAGTCCAGAGACTGTGTCATCAGGGAAGGTGAGCGGGAGATAGACTTCTACTGCCAGGCCCTTCTCCCCTGGGAGCCGGAGGGTAGACCATGGTCTCCCTCCAGGACAAGGGAGGACTCCGGGACCTCCCATTCTGTCCAGTCAAGGGGATGGACCAAGGTGGTCAAGGGCCCTTAGGCCCACCACACCAAGGCCCCTGCCCCGCCGGAGCTTAGCAATGGGTATGAACTTCTTGCAGCCCCAGCAGAGCCTGCTGAGTTGCCAGCTCCCGCAGACAACACAGGCCCAACTGCAGCTACTGCCCCCACCCTCCCCAAGACAAAAAGTAAAGTGTTTGTTGTGGGAGACTCCATCCTGATGGGGACTGAGGGGGTAATCTGCCTCCCTGACCACTTAGCTCAGGAAGTCTGCTGCTTCCTGGGGGCCTGCATCCAAGACATTGCAGAGAAGATTCCTAAGCTCCTCCAGCCCACAGACCACTATCCCATGCTCCTTATTCATGTGGGCACCAATGACATGACTCGGAGTGCTCCCAGGCGGGTCATGAGGCACTACAGGAATTTGGGAGCAGGGCTAAAGGGTCTGGGGGCACAGGTGGTGTTCTCTTTGATTCTCTCAGTCCCAGAGTATGGGCTGAGGGAGAAGAGGATCCAGGTAGTGAATCAAAGACTGTGGCGCTGGTGTCATCGGGAAGGCTTTGGCTTCTATGACCACAGCCCGCTCTTTGGTGAGAGGCAGTGAGCTGCTAGGAAGAGATGGCCTCTACCTCTCTCCCCTGGGGAGGAGCCTCTTCTCAGCCAGACTGGCTGACTTGCTTCACCAGTCTTTAAAATAAGCCCACTGGGGGACGGGGGGGGGGGG